ATTTTTTTAGAACTGTGTAATATTTTATTAACTTTTATAAAAATATAATTTATAACATGAGTCTTAAGGCTTGTGGCATCCAACTGCATTTTTCTCTCGTATCACATATGCAATGATTCATGCACAGCACTTTCAAATCCTCCATTGTCTTGAGCATAACCGTTTAAGACTCGAATAATTGTAATCATATTTTTTATATTGAAAGACTTATTAGTACCGATTTTATTTGATGACTACAAGTAAATATCTAATGATATTATTAACAAAATTAATTGAAAACTAATGAGAAACAAGTACTTTCTAAGCCTAATCTTATTCGGATATCCATTTGACGTGTAATTTAGAATTTCACAACGTTCCCACCAAAACAAGCTATTCTTCATTATTAAGATAACAAAATCTACTATAGACTTAATTGATTTAGATTTACTAATGATCTATAGATCATTAATTAATAAATCTAAATTATTTACTGTTAAATCACGATAAAAATGCAAGAAACCAGCTTCCAAGTAAATAAGCTGAAGAACTGTTACAAGGACCGATATTTACATACGAATATATACTTAGCATTTGAATTACTGCTTACCTCAGGGAATAGGCAGGTAAAACGCAGCACTTAGTGTTTATTTATAGAAACGCAATCGGGCCAAAAGGCAGGATGTTTGACGTAACACGCGAAACTGTTGGCATTTTGTGTGCAAACTGCACTTAAGTATTTGGTACACTTTACGCAATGAATTCAAATACTTTCGATGCTCTGTTGAATTTGATTCTGTCTTGTGACAAAGCCGAATCTGTACATTAAATAATTTTTGGAAAATCTTATTGAAATAAACATTATTATCGATACAGAGGCCGAATCTATAGTTTTTAGAACTTTTGTCTGTCTGTCTGTCTTTCTGTTACCGTATCACAGAAATACACTGGAGAGATTTTGATGAAATTTGGTATGGTGATAGCTGGTTATCCGAGTCAACATATAGGATACTTTTTACCGCGGGAAAATATCTCATTTCTGAGAAAAAATGTAAAAACTGCAATGTAAGAGTATACTAATCTGTAAAACCTAAGAATTTGGTTTTGGTCATATGAACGCGGGCGGAGCCGCGGGTAATGCTAGTTAAGTTATAATTTTGGATGCAATCGAATCGGTACAGAATCAAACTAAAATAAACATTAAACAACACATTTGTCTTTGTGTAATGTATTCAGAGGGAATCTTATTTCGAGTCATTTTCAATAACAAATATATGAGTAGGTAATTTACTCATCTTATCAACAGACTCATTCAAGTAGTTTTTATGTGTATTATGATTAGTAGTTATTTGTAAAGCATGAAACAATCAACCATATGTATTATGTTATTAATATCTCTTTGAAGTCATATTTAGGTTTCCTTAAATTAATTATCTTTTCATGTAATAAAATAGTAACAAAGCAAGAAAGAAGAAGATGAAACATTTTTTTAAAATGACTAACATATTGTGTACACTGTACGTAATAAAAACCCCAAAACAATAGTTATTGTAATTCGCCTGTTTGTCTCCTTATCTAAGTGCATTCACGTCAAAAGTACTGAACCGATTTTAACTAAATTTTGTGTTGTGATAATTTATTACTCGGGTCAATATTTAAGATACTTTTCATTATAGAAAAATCTTTCATCCCCACGACAAACACAATAAATGGTTTTATCGAGTCGTATATAGAAGTTTACATGGCTAGCGATGGCGAAAACTATGTACTAGAAAATTGTAGGTCTTAAAAGGGCCCTACAGAAAACTCCACAAGGCAACCGCATGTGAACGAAGCGAGGGTAACTAACTAGTATATTATGAAGCGAGTTGATTTCTTGATTCCTGCATCTATCTGGAATATCATTAATGGACAGTAACACAGATTACTTAACGTATCAATATTGTTCTCCATCTATATTTATATAATATAATTGTAACTAAGCCGAATCTGTACATTAAATATTTTTTGGAAAATCTTATTGAAATAAACATTATTTTCGATACAAAGGCCGAATCTATAGTTTTTAGAATTTTTGTCTGTCTGTCTGTCTGTCTGTTACCGCATCACGAGAAAACCACTGGACAGATTTTGATGAATTTGGTATGATGATAGTTGGTTATCCGGGTCAACATATAGGATACTTTTTATCGCGGGAAAAATCTCATTTTTGAGAAAAAATACAAGAACTGCATACTTAAGAGTATACTAATATGTAAAACCTAAGAATTTGGTTTTTGGTCATCTGAACGCGGGCGGAGCCGCTCACAACACTAGTTAGATATAAGGAGCTTTAAAAACTCTAATATACTTATAAAACAATCAAGTTCGAATAATTGTTATCAAGGATTTATTTAAACTAAATCCGGCTAACAGAAGCCTTACTAACCCGCACGTCACAATATATTGAATTAAGTAATACAGGGAAGGAAGACTTACGTTGAAATAATTAATATGTACAAGTGTTACCGCTACATGACGTAAAGCCTGGCACGTGGGCGGGAACTTGGCTATTTTGTACGAGGAGTTTCACATTCAAATGTATCACGGATCATGGTATAAGCAAATATTGTAATATGACTACAGAAAAATATGCTTACAAAACTAAAATACGCCTTATAAAGACAATATAAAAAAAATATCTACGTTTTGTTAGTAGATGTTGTGGACTTAAAGTTTTGAAAGGATAATGGGTATCCCGGTAACGGTATCTGGGAAAGGCTGGTAGCAAGTTAGATTGTACAAAAACTATTTGGTTAAGGTGAGACGCGTCGTCGGGAAGCTTGTTTTAGTTAAGACCCTTTTTACGTCCCGCGGAGAGGTTGCATTCCCGCCCGCCATCGTGTGCACCTTCGAACGAGCTTGTAAGCCGCATAGCGCCAGCCACCAATCGTAAACGAACTCTTATTACATTCGAACTTTTTATCGAACTCCCAATATTTGTTTTGTGAATTAAGCTTTTAAGTTACGATGCCGCTCAGTCAATATGAATTGCAGTCTTACAATAGCTGGTTTTCTCGAAATTAAATTTTATATTGTGACATAAATATGTAAATTTAACATTACCCGGTCAAAGACAGGCAGATGTTTCGAATTTTGAATGAATCAAATAAGTAGAGCATTGATAAACACTGCGTGTTATCAGAAAGACACAGTTATTATACCTAATTAAATGTCTCACTAACCTGATGGCTCGGCGCAGTCGCTTAAAATCCAAGCTGCATTTTAACCTCAAAAAGCACCTTAAGCACAGTCACAAAAACGAAGGTCACGGTTATGTTAACATGCATAATAGCACTCAACTTTTTTCCCAGTTGCATATAAAAACAAAACGCGATCGACGGTTAAAGTTAATGCTGTTATCATAAACACACGAATGCAAAGTTCGTTGCACGTTTATATTTCAACAAGCGACACGAGTATCCATTCAAAACTCCATTGGATTGCATATTTTCAGAGTCTTCTGTTTAAAAAGAGCACCAACGAAGACTCTAAGTCATAAATTCTATGAGATTTTCGATAAAACATGTCACAGTCATGCACTGCACTTCGTCTGACACGACGAATATGGCGGATGAATTTAAACTACGCTTGCGTTGCCATACAAGCCTTGCTGTCAGTTGAAAACATCATTGATAGTGCTGCCATCTATGATATACTGGTTGAACTTTTTCAAACGAGTAGCATAACTAAACTTTTTGTTATGAAAAATGGTGTAATGAGGTAAAAATGTGTTTGTGTCTCCATAGATGGCGCTATTATACTATTGCTATTCATAGAAGTGATAATAGAGGTCGCTTCTCTAGAATTATAATTTCATTTAAATTATATTTTTGAGTTAAATATTGCCTTTTTCTCCCGTCAGATGTCGCGATCACCATAATACTCAGTATATTGTATAGCTCTATAGTGTGGATGGAATTGTTTCATTTTATTTAAAATTTAATTAAAATGACAAATTGTGCAGTACCAAGATGCAAAGAAAACGGATATCATTTGTTTCCAAAAGAGAAAAACTGAAGAAATTGTGAGCTAAAGCAATAAGACAACCAAAATTGGCAAAATCACAATCTTTATATGGATATGTGAACATTATTTTACAGAAAATGTTTTTAAAACTTAAATCGTCTACAGGTGATCTTTTTTTATTTTTTGTACTTTGCTTACATATTAATTACAGAGTTTCATACAAACTTTCATCCCAGCATTAATACCAAGTATCAAATAATTCTGATCATAAATAATTATTTGCCCATATAAACATTACTACTAGTTTTTACCCCTTTAAGGGTTGAATTTCCAAAAAATTCAAATCAATATATTTCTAATTTTAGATCTTAAAGCTAAACACCACTTTCTGTGTATTTCACATAAAGAAAAACTGATTTTTATACAATATTTCATCCCCTATTTTAGCTACTTAAGGGATGAATTTCAAAAAATACTTTCTTGACGCCTACAACATATAAGGAATACGTCGTCCAAATTTCACTTTTTTACGATCAGCGGCTTAGGCCGTGTGTTGATCCATCAGTCAGTCAAAACTACCACAGGATGCACTTCTCCCTCTTAATTCTTCCTTCAGCTGGTCTAACTTCCAGGCACATTCCACAGGTAAGATGCGAACACAATAGAAGCAAAAAACCAGGTACAAAAGACTTATCATGATAAATTGTACCTCAGACTAAATGTAAACAGATCGTACGTGTAGCGCCCTCCTTTCATGAAATCTTCCCCATTTTATTATTATTATAGTTCAATAATTAAGTAAGATTGATTTTATTAATAAATTTTAAGTTAAACATTTTGGAAGCAAAACAGATTTAAAAAAGGAACTATTTTTTTTGTAACTTCTTTCCATACGAAATATAAAAGTCCGTTTAAGTTTTAAATTATTTATTCAATAATATCCAAGTATATTCATTAAATAACAGCAACATAATATTTTCTTATTTAGCACACAATACAAAAATAAAGCATTATTTTCTTCTAGTACGGTAACGGAGCGCCACCAACGCGAGAAGGTGGAAAGCGACGTAAAGGACGACAAGAGCCCCGATGTCGACCCAGAACTTGTTGGATTCGAAGTCGTACACCGTTAGGACTTCATCGCCTGTACTTAAACAAGGTGCCTGGCTGTCTACTTGTGAGCATGCTGGAAAAAAATAGACATTAAAAATCAATGGAAAAAAGTTATAAATGCGTGTCAATAATTGTAGGTCCTTTTCCATTTATTTCGTAAATATACGTAAGTATTATTAATCTATTAACTACTTTAATTTTACAAATATATATTTTTTATGGATAGTACATATATGGGATTTGATATGATCAGTATGATCCAGAATATTGTTAAAATAACTATACATTATTTTTGTATTTTGTATTACTTTGATGTATAAACTATAGTACTGCGGTTTTAAACGAATCCGTTCATGTTTTTAGTCACGCGTGAAAAGGTCACTAACATCTACGCATACATCAATACATCAATACTCATATAATACTAGCGGCTCACTCACGCTTCGCTCGGGTTTGCCTCTAGAAAAACAAAAATAAATCTATTCCTCGAGAACCGTATATTTTTTCGGGTTAAAAAGTAACCTTTATGTTATTCCAGCCTATAATCTATCTCTGTGCCAACTTTTATCCAGATCGGTTCAGCTGTTCTGGCGTGAAACAGTAACAAACATCCATACTCACAAGCTTTCACATTCATAATATTAGTATAGAGTATAGATTAAAAGGTAATTTAATATTTCGTATAAATGTTATTAGACTGATAAAAAAAACTATTTTTTTTTGCCTAAATACTTAAGTACCTCATCTATGCATAAGTAATAGGTAAGTAAAACCTTTTATGACATTTTTTGTGGGGGAAGTCCCATCCTATATTATCTTACCTGGTTTCTAAGAATTGTTTACAAACAAAGCAAAGAGATTTTACTGAAGATGTTGACTATATATTATTACAAACCGAAATTCTAAGAATTCGTACATCCCGTGGGTCAGTTTTTAGTAATTTAGTAAAGACATTAAACGTGTGCTTTTAAAACTTTTTATTACTATACTAGCGGCTCACTCTCGCTTCGCTCGGGTTCGTTTCTAGGCAAACAAAGACAAACCTATCCCACGGGAACCGTACATTTTTACGGGATAAAAAGTAATCCAGATTATAATCTATATCTGTGCCAAATTTCATCCAGATCCGTTCAGCCGTTCTGGCGTGAAAGAGTAACAAACATCCATACATACTCACAAACTTTCACATTTATAATATTAATAATATTACTATATTTATGTGTATTGACTTGAAAAACAAATACCACCAATAACAAAGTCGGTGCCAGCCGATACAAATCTCGAAGCACACCGACTTAGAAAATATTTGATATAGGTACATACATATGTGAAAACTACCAATCAGTTAATTTTTACTATTTAGTGTTTTTAGAAGTCGGTTTTTATTTTTTATTATAACCACTTACTGATATTCTGAACACCATCCCACTGCAAGATGCTTATCGCCTCGTTAGAGTACATCGGCCATGAAAAATATCGTACCCACGATATGTATTTAGGTATTGAGCTGAGAATAAAATAAAAGTAAAATTAATACAATTTAAACAGGTAGATATATAATAAAATTCATTTTTTGAATGTGTTTAATATATCGTGCAAAATGCTCAATTTAACTAGCTATTGCCTGCGGCTTTGTCCATCTTTGTCATTTATTCAATGACAACATAACTGTCTTGCTTTTTATGATGCAATTAAATAGATAGAAGAAGAGACAAATATTATCAGCTTATAATAATTGTTGTTAATTATGACAAAATTTGATTTTATTAAATAATTCCTCAATTTAAAATTTTCAAAATTTTCGAATTTTGACAAACTTTTTCCCCGATCATTTTGTATTAATAAATAATAATGCCTGAAGCAGATATTATAAGGCAATTAGAAAAAATAAAGTCAGTTTAAGTCTCATTATAAAAGTCTATTTTATACACACTTTCCTACCTAATACATGTAATTTGTACATATAATAAAATTGTAACTAAGCGAATTCTGTACATTAGATATTTTTTGGAAAATCTTATTGAAATAAACATTAGAATCTAGAGTTTTTAGAAGTTTTGCCTGTCTGTTACCACATCACAGGAAAACCACTGGTGGGATTTTGGTGAAATTTAGGTATGGTGATAGCTGGTTTTCCGAGTCACCATATAGGATACTTTTTACCGCGGGAGAATATCTCATTTCGAAGAAAAAATACAAAAATTGCAGTGTAAGAGTATACTAATACCTATGTAAAACCTAAGAATTTGGTTTTTGGTCATCTGAACGCGGGCGGAACCTCGGGTAATGCTAGTGTACTTATATGATAAATATGAATATAAAAAAACTCTTAAAATAAAATAAAAAAGCAAAAAGTTACCTCAGTTTGATAAATAGTCCCGATGTCACCATTAAAGTGTAATCGAAAGGCACAAGGTATGCCATCGCCATCGGCATCGAACCAAACGCGCAAGAGAAGAATGAACCTAGAACAGTAACAACTATACAGTTGATATTTCTACACATTTACTTTTAAGGTATCTTAAATAATATTTAATTTGGAATATCCTATTTTTTAAGGGGAGATTATTTTTTATATATTCTTATATTATAAAGAGGAAATATATGTTTTTTTGTTTGTTTGTAGCGAATAGGCTTCGAAACTACTGAACCGATTTAGATTTATCCCGGAAATCATCCCTTAAGAGGGTGAAAAGGGAGGTGAAATTTTATATGGGGAAGCAAACTAGAGACGAACCCGAGAGAAGCGAGGGTGAGTCGTTAGTTTACAATAAAGCCACGTCCACTTAGTTATTGCTGTACAAGTCGTATCCATGTGGACTTGTGGCAAAAATGCTATCCGCATGTTATCCCCTGCTGAATGTCAATGCCGATACCTAAATATTTTGTTCTAAATATTTTTAGCTATTATGCCCAATATCTTTATCTTTTTGCTAATAACAATTACACATGGTGAGTTGACAATAGTAATAAAGCAATAAATACAATGAGACTATTTTACATTTAATATTAAAATAATTTAAATAGTTTCATATACATATATCGATAAAAAAAATTCTTACCGCAAGCGATGGCGACATTCAACACTAATATGGAGACAAACACTGTGAGTCCAAATGCGTGGAATGTCCCCCGCAGGCCCGCTATCCAGTACAAAACCAGGGTGAACAGCGTGGGCTCTATTAATAGACCAGGGAACTGGAAATGAAATATTAGAATGTGTATTCAGCTCTTTTTAACTTCCCACTGCTGGGCGCGGGTCTCACTTCAAAACGAGGGGGATCAGGCCATAGCCCACTACGCTGGACAAATGCGGATTGGTGGACTTTACATGTCTTTCGTAAACTTGCTAAGTTCTCTAAGACAAGCAGGTTTTCTCACGTCGTTTTACTTAACCGTAAGAGTAGTAGAATGAAAAAAAAACTTTTTTATCAATTAATAACACATGTAGAGCTAACAATCTCAACGCTACTAATTTTCAATACAACTTAGATGGGAGTTGACGACAGCTTTTGTATAATATATGAATAGGCTATTATTAAGGTATTTTAAAATATTGTCACGTAACTTACCAAAGCGATCATCCTGGAGACATAATATATTGGCGTAGAATACAGCCCGGCCCGCAATTCTCTATGCAGCATGGGAAACTCTTCAGGCAGCATATGCAGCACTGAGTACATCGGTATGAACGTGTTCTCCGCGATGATGATGAAGACCGCACCTTGTACATCTTGAATTCCGGCCTGAGTGAGACGTGCTGTACCAATAAAACACAATCCTGCTGCTAGCGCTATAGCCTGGAAAAATAGACATTGTATTTTAGGTTCTTCGATTTTTCCTATTTTTAAAATTTATAACCATATCCTTAATGCAGCATACAATATCATAGATATATAAGTTCTTCAATCCGAACACGAGTCGGTAGAAATCAGGGGCAGGACCGAAGAATTTCTGTGTGGCACAGACAGACCCGTAATATCTTAAATTTCTACCTCCAGGCTGCTTTTGACAATTTCTTGTCAGTAAAGGTCAATAACGTTTTAGTTATTAGGGATAATTGTGCCGTTATTACTGTACACAGGACACACGTATAATCTTAATAACAACTATTAAATATAAAGAATTATTATCTAAAACTAATGAAGTACATACCAATTTTTGTAATATTCGTACTAACTGCACTCGTGGATCCCTTAGAATAATAAGTAAATATCTATAAACGAGCCAAATAATTTTCGTGTGAAGAAAAGGATGTTTGAAATTGTTGTTGAATTTTGATCGCTTCGTTTCCTGTAACAATTGCAGAAGTTTAGAAACTTTTAAATTGTAGACAGTTGTATGTAAAGGTCACAAATATTTTACAGCATATTTAGTAGACTAATTAAATAAATGTAAGAACTTAGAAGTTAATACCATGTAATCAAATACTAAAAATACTAAATAGCCGATCTGATGTTGAAGCCAAGCACAAACGATGCATATATATATATATATATATATATATATATATATGCATATATTATATATATGCATATATTACTTCTAGTAAGTCTCTCAAATTGGGTTCCCATAATTTATTTTGACGACTTCTATATAATTACACCAATGTAAATCCTGGTTTTTAATCGTTTAAACTATATTACTACTTATTACTTTATGCTAATCATTATAGTATAATATATTTATATATCTTTATATATATAATTCTTCTGTGAGTGTGTATGTCACTGAACTTCTCTCAAACGACTGGACCGATTTTGATGAAATTTTTTGTGTGTATTCAAGGGGATCTGGGAATGGTTTAGATTCACAATTTGAATAATAATTTTCATCAAAAAAATTATTAAAAAAAGTTTGAAATTTTCAAATTAAAGACGTGTAGACAGGACAACGTCTGTCGGGTCCGCTAGTATTTATATATAGTATAACTAGCGGTACGTTTTAAATAGATACAAATAGTTATTGGCCAGCGTTAGCCATATAATTTTTTTTCCGATAATTTTTCATTTTTCCTCTTTATTAAAACCTTCCGTGGACCTTAAGGAACACACGAAAAAAAAATTAGCCGAATTGGCTGAAAAAAGGCTGGACCTTTCTTGAGTTATGCGCTTACCAACATTCATTTTTATTTATATAGAGATAGATAGATAATGCACTTCATATGGGGATTTGTTTTAGACAACAAAATCAAAAACTACGCCTGAGCAGTCTTTGACGTTTAATCGAAAATGATCTTAAAAAAGTTAAATATTTTTTTATTCTGAATAAATAAATAAAAAATACATTATTCAGTAGTCACTAAGGCCTCATAACTTAACTGTATCTCTGCAAAACCAGATGCAAAAACGAAAGTTGTTTTTGGTGATTCAGCTTTATACCAGTCAATTTATAACAGACCTTCGTAATTATACTCATTAGTCCTTACAGTTACTTTACGTTACGGTAAATGGTTAAAATTTTACAGTTTTAATTTAATTAGTGACCAAACCTAGGGAACTTCTTGCTACAGAGAAATCTTATAGGTTTTTATTTACAAATATATACATATTAAGTATATGAGTACATACTCGTAGTATATTATATTAAGTGAAAGTCACGCAGGATAAGCAAAAATGATTGTATTCCAGTTTTGTTCACAAATATATTTTTTTAAATGAGCATCTGTTGAATATCTCGCTTTTCTCAGCAGAATCGACTTCCCAACCGGCGGTTTCTCACTGACTTAGAACTGATTATTTAAATGTAAAAATCAACGATTTAAGGGTGATACCAAAAGTCTATTTCAATAACGTACGAGTATAATAATACTATAGGTACTTCGATTTGATTTGATGTCAGCCTCCGCATTATAAAAATAAATTGCAAAAATCACGTCAATTAGTCTAATCGCTGCTACGTAAATGAGGGACAAACCGACTAATACTTTTATCTTTACGTTGTTAACACAGATTAAGTACTATTATGATATTGCAATCTTAAAGATCTCACCTCATCTTCATGGTCCATTAGATGGAACTCTAGCTGTATCTCCATATCTAATTCTTTTGCAGCATCACTGACAGCGAATCTGTCGCAGACACTCTTGATAGCTTGTCGAGACGCACCCTCAGACCCAGGAGTGAGTGCGAGTACTTTTATAAAGTAGTCTGTCGGGTTGTACGTTACGGGACATTGGTAGCCTAAGCTGAAAAAATATGATAAGGTACTATGAGATTAAGATTGTTGACATAATAATCAGGTCGTGATGTCGGGCCTACACGTTTGCCATTTACCACAAATTTCAAATCTCTATAAAATCACAAACACGTGGATGCATTACAAGCACTTGCCAGAAATTTCCTTTGACTTATATACAAAAACCGACACGATCGGAACGGCCACAAGTGCTTGGCACAAGCCACATGTTTGAATTTATGATGGTTTTTTGAGGCTTGCGAAGCGTGTGGATACGTAATGATAAGATTAAAATTGTTTGTTACTTTCAATTTTTGTTAAATCTTGTTTTATTGGTAACATGTTCTTCTCTAGCTTCAGTCTGGGTCTAACTACACCTCGTTTCAAACTTCTTTACAGATTGCTTTTCCGAATTTTACAGAGAATAATTTTGGCACTATCTTTAATAAACTTCAGTGACTATACAAGTTAGATATATTGATCTGCTGTACGTTTGTTGCATATAGGAAGGAAACCCCAACTAATATTTTAGTGTTTATATATAATTAATCTTACTACAAGTACTACATAAATGCGAAAGTTTGGATGGATGGATGTTTGTTACTCAATCACGCTAGAACAGCTAAACAGATCTGAATAAAAAATTTCACAGTGATAGATTATATTCTGGACTAGCACATAGGCTACTTTTACATTCCCGTGGGATAGATTTGTTTTTATTTTTCGCTAAGGACCAAGGCGAGCGAAGCGAGAGTGAGCGGCTAGTTAATAAACATAAATTGAAATAGTAATAGTACAATAATATTACTCGTATGTATTATTAAATGACATCCTTCTTGGAGAAACATAAACTAACCTTAATCTCAAAGAAAAACAGCATTTCAAAGGTTTGCTAGCCGTTGTTACATTTGATTTTATTTTTACATAATCAATTGTTAAATGTACAACTATATTAAAGCAAACACGACGTGCGCTATTATTCTTACATGCCGTTTGACACTTAAAATGTAAAAGCATCATATATTTATTAGGTAAAATTAAAACGATTAACACAAATAAGATTAAGTAGATCATTAATTATTCATATTCTAAAAATGATAATGGGTTAAATATTTAATATAAATACATATTTCAATTAAGTTCATTTAATTAAAATTTCATTTAATAGTTATTTAGTATTGATTAAATACTTTATTAGAAACATACTGTTTAAAATCTAAAGAAAATGCACCCTGCTTCTTGTACCACAGATAGACTATTATTAATATTCGGTACATCATTTTGTTTACGTTTACGACGAGCCCTTGAACGTCGCCGCTATTCCTTGTATCGGAAAGTCTTATTAAGGCCAATGATTACTATCATTTAGATCGTAAGACAATTGGCGATTCCATATATATGTCTAGACTGTAAGGCCTCTTCACGGAATACGACATATTATTCATATTGATATTAAGAAAAAGCAAATATACTTTTCTATATACTGTTTGGCAGTGGTAGACCAGTGGTAACGCGCTCGCTTGAGAAACTGAGTGAAGCGGGTTCAAATCCCGGGTCTCACACGTCTGATATTTTCATGTGCGAATCATTTCCAATATGATTGTCACTTGTCTTACGGTGAAGGAACACATCGTGAGAAAACCTGCATGTCTTAATAGAACCTAGCAAGTCAAAAGTGTTCAAAAGACATGTGAAGTCCCCCAACCCACACTTGACCAGCGTGGTGGATAGGCCTGATCGTCCTCGTACTGAAGGGAGGCCCGCGCCCAGCAGTGGGACGATAAAAAGGGCTGAATACATATACTGTTTTAATTGGTTTAAACAAATAATATATTTGAGACATACTAAGTATATGCATATTTAACTACTGACATATCCACTTTATATTATATTAGCTGCGTTGCGCTCTTCGTTTGTCATGGACATTATTATTAACAGTACTATTAGAAGGGACATCACACAATGTTGAGGCAGCCGTGTGAACAGTGTATCTCGGTACATATAAATAATACACAAAAAATGTGGAAATAAAATGATAATGAAAGATTTAGATTTCACCAGCGACATTGCCTCGCTACGCTCAGGTGCGTTCCTAGATGCCTTTTGTATTTAATATTATAATTTATATTATAGGTATCGTCTTTTGCAAAACGTTCTACAAACAGTAGTCTTTGTGTTATCTCAGCTTATTGTCTATTTGTATACTAATAATGTTCATCTAAACCCGTTCAGTCCTTTGAAGGTCAAAGACAAAGACACACTTGTAGGCACACATGCAAACTTTCGTATTTATAATAGTAATATAATAAGTAATGTTGTTAAACTATGATATTTACATAATTACGTGCAATCTCATTATCTCTCTTTTTAATGAAATGTTTAATTTATTTGACAATTACTTGCTATCAAAGTTATAATTTATTACGCTTTTTGCATCTTAAAAAGTATAAAATTAAAATAGAAATAGGTTTTTAAAAGCATAAATCTATATAAGTGATCAAAGTGCTCGCCTCTACGCCGGAAGTCGCGGCTTCGGAGTTCTGCTACAAATATATCTATTAGCTGGACTAAATTAATAAAATCTATCCCACGGGAGCCGTACATATTTCCGAGATAAAAAGTAACCTATGTGCTATTCCGCACTATAATCCATCTCTGTGTTAAATTTTATCCAGATCCGTTCAGCCTTTCTGGCTTGATTGAGTAACAAACATTCAAGCATCCAAACATCCATCAAAACTTTCACATTTATAATATTAGTAAGATATAAATATTTGTTGGGCAATAGGCATGTACCTATTAGTACGTAATATGTTATATGAATTAGTGTTTGCCTTGTGGTTGAAACTCGACCATAATATGTCTGTATAATAAAAACATTTTAACAAAAAAATAATAACCGTCTTCATACAAAAGCACTAAAAAGTAAAAAATAACTGATTGGTAGTTTTCATTTACTATACATACCTAATCAAATATTTTCGAAGTCGGTATGCTTTGCTTTGTATGAGCTGGCACCGATTTCGAAAATATTTTATTAGGTATGTATTTAATAGGTAGGCTTTAATTACTTAGCTTGTCAAATCAAACAAAATAAGCCCAAACTCAAAGTATCTACTTTTAGTCGTTGAAGAGTTCCACCTATCCACCTTCTGGCCTTACCATCAGGTCAGGTCAACAATACCAATATCAACGGAAATAGAAACACTTGCAAAGTTTCAAGTCAATATGACAATTAGAAGTAGGTTAAATTCATCATTCGCTATTTTTCCACTCTTAGGGGTGGTATTTTTTTTTAAATTTAAATGGGACCAATCTGGAAGTATACCCTTTCAAACAAAACAAAAATTGTCCAAATCGGTTAATAAATGACGAAGTTCTGAAGTAACAAACATAAAAAAAACAGTCGAATTAAGAACCTCCTCCTTTTTGAAGTCGCTTGAAAAAAAACTATTTTTAAATTTTCTTATTGATAACACTAAAGCTCGTCAATTGCCACTAAATAAAAAAATAAAGAAGTTGACAAAAATGGAGAGAAAGGTGATGAATCATTTTGTCTTTGCCTACATATGTAGTATACCTATATAGATGTTTCATATCGACACAAAGTGACTTAGCCGTTGAGAGAAAAAACATATTTTTTTTATACAAATAAGAATAACCCAGTCACCGTGTGTTTCATAAAATGTCAACAAAATAAAATGAAAATTTATTTATCGACATTTACATATTAAATCCGTATTAAATAATCATAAATTATTAATTAATAGTTACTATACGCTAATCTCGATGGATAAATATACGTAGATTTTACTTTTTATGTTATTTATACATTTTGATTATCTGGATGATCTTCTTTTTTGTTTAGTTTTTTCATTAAAATTAAATTCTGTTCATATATATTTTCTTCAAATATTCAATAATCATAATTGTCGAATTTCGGCCAGTAGACGATGGTATATACATAATTAGCTAAGTGTAATACCTGTACATAATACACATTATATTTTATACAGTTTTACCGAAAAAACCCCAAATAGAATAATCAGAAATAAAAAATCGTCTCCGTGTGTAACCGTCGTGTAGGCTTGGACGGCCACTTCTTTTTCTCACTATCTTTCATGCTAAGTTTTAGCGAATTAAGCAATGTAATTTTGTGAAAATTTACGATTATTCATCGGTCACACATACGACGACCTGCCCACTTATCGGACTATGCCGTTACCACTGGGCTACCACTGCCGTTAATAATTGTTTAATAATATGTATATTGGAAAATTTAATAGTATTTTTACCTTTCAAAGAAACTTAACGCCGCAGACGCATTCCCAGCAAAAGCGACTCTACCCTCAGCGAGAAGAACTAGTTTATCAAACAACGCCATTAGTTCCGAGGACGGCTGGTGTATAGTGCATATTATTGTTTTCCCCTGCACCGCACTCGCTCGCAGAAGGGTCATCAACTTCTGTGCAGATGATGAATCTAATCCAGTTGTAGGTTCGTCGCAGAATAGAAGGCCAGGGTCGATCAATAGCTGAAAGAAAGTATAACATATAGATATTAACTATATATTTTGCTTTGCAAAATGTCTTGCTTTAATTCTCTGGTTTTTTCACTATTTAAATGTTATTCATAAAAATAAAAAATAAAAAAATACTAAAGTAGGTACCTATTTTAAAAAATAACTTAGTTACTTAAAGTAAATTGGACAAGCGCAACGTTTGATTGGAAACCGTAAACCGATGGTTCCGTAGCAAAACTTTGATTACAAGTAAAATTAAATATTTAGCGATCTACAATATTAAATTTATTGAAAACATAGATAAGTTTATAGTATTTCTATGAAAAATAACGATAATTTTATGGCAGCTATATTAAGAACACGTGCGATTGAAAACATATCTCAAAGTAATAAAAAATATCTTTAACAAAATAACAGATACGGACTCACATGAGGAAATAATAAGGCGTTTTTGCCTTTTGGTCATGGAACCCTAAAAATAAGAATGTGTTTGTAGTCTGCCTTTTTCGTTATTAATTAAACGAAATGGGTTTTGAAGTAATTTAAAGTTGGATTTATAAAATTATGTTTAAAATTAATTTTGCCAAATTGTTTTCTTAATTATCGATGTCACTAACAAGATTTCAACAAAATTAAATTGTTAAAATAGATAATATGTAAATAATACTGATACTATGTTTTTGAAACATTAATTTAATATTAAATACTAATTAGCTATATTTTATACTCCCCGCTCAATATGTAGTGTATACTTTGTAATTTATATGATTTGCCTTATCTTAAGCTCTCAATTCGTAGTAAAAATTTCCGATTTCCGAGTTTATTGGAAACAAGCTATATATATTAGTTCCATATATTAACGCGTTCAAACAAAAAAGAAACTCTTCAACTTTATAATATTATAATAAACTAGCGACTCACCCTCGCTTCGCCCGTGTTCGTCCCTAGGTTGATTCCCCATGCAAACTTTCATCCCCATTTTTCACCTCCTTAAGGGATGATTTCCAGGATAAAAACTATCCTATGTCCTTCACAGGGTCTCAAACTAACTTCTTACCAAATTTTATTTAAATTGGTTCAGTAAATCCAGAGATTACCCCCTACAACCTCACAAACTCACAAACTTTACCTCTTGGTATAAATAATCTATACAACATTATAGAGGTAAACTTTGTGAGTTTGTGAATTCTTAAGTTTGTGAGTTTGAACTTGTACTGACCGTAAGAAGTTTGTACTGAACCGATTTAGATGAAAGTTTGTAAGGGTAATCAAGCTAGGGACGAACCCGAGCGAAGCGATGGTGAGTCGCTAGTAATAAATAAAACTATTTCTTCGGAGAGACTCTCCCGCGACCATGATTGCTGAAATGCATTCGAACGTCGAGAATCGAAAATCAAAATAAATCCACCTAGAGAAATTCGAAGAGATGGTTTTATTTAAAAAGAAATAAAAAGTATTAAATAATAATAATATCTATACATATAATAAAATTCTAATAGAATTTTTGCCTGTCTGTCTGTTATCGTATCACGAGAAAACCACTGGACAGTAGATGAAATTTGGTATGATGATAGCTGGTTATCCGGGTCAACATATAGAATACTTTTTACTGCAGGAATCTCATTTCTGAAAAATCTATACTAAACGTTAAAACGTAACCAGGGACGAACCCGAGCGGAGCGAGGGTGAGTCGCTAGTAATAAATAAAATATAATATACATATATCTATAAATGATAATGAATTCCATTTTTAAATCAGATACAACTTTGTTGATCAATTACTTAGTACATTAAACGATGCAGCCAAAAATAACTGTTTTATCGTAAGTTTTTTAACTGAGAATTCGGATAAAGGTGAACAGAACAAGTTGTGTGATTTGGACATGTTGCGATGTATTTTTTATCCGACACCTAAAAGAAGGAGGTTATTAATTAAAATTTTATCTATATATATATTTATGTAAACCATTTGAAGAGAAAACTGCTTTTAGTCTTCCGTGGTCTGTCTCTATCACAGATATAGAATAGGATAGATACCTGTATATTTCATTATATTACATATAGGTATGAAAACCAAAAAATCTATTTAGTGTTGTGCATATCAGAAACAGAATTTTCTTCAATCGAAACGTTTACAATATCCGATCACCGTACAGACTCGTCAAAATATCATACTTTAAGTGATAGTAAAAGTTTAAATAGGATTCTTTTACGAGTACCTATGTGTTATTTTATTGTTTAATATGACATCATCATGTAGTACTTTAATACAGCTTTTGTTTGAGAACAACTGAGACATAAATAATTGTTACGTCAATCGATTTTAAAATCGATATTAGTCTTGTGTTCTGCCAAATGATAAAGCATTAACAGAGGAATGAAATTATAAAGTTGACTAATTACTATACTTTTAGGCAGCTTATCATAAAGTTTTCCGCTTTGACGTTTCGTCCTTGGCGCGAGATGTACAATGTATTCTGTAAATACATATGTATGTATGTCTCTGACTGCATAATACTATATTTCTTCGTCAACTTGTTTTAATTTTTTTAGTTACGCAGTCGGGTTTTTTCTTTTTTATAAATATTTTTTTTATTTACAGCTTTTTAGTTTTTGCCAATTAGACATTTGTAGTAATATTTAGCAATTTTTTAATCGAAATTACTTTAAAACATATAAGTTATATATATTTTTGTGAACACCACTTAAAAACATTTATTTCGATACCCCACTCGATTGGTTTAGAAGATTGTTTTTAAAGACACACAAATTGGCATTTGAAATTCGTTATTTTAAATTATAACTATTTATACATGGATGCAAATATGCAATAACATGTTATAATAACATTGATATTCATAGTTTTTTTAAATCTATTCTCATTTTGATCTAAGAACGATTTGCAATAACGTTTTAAATCAAATAGCCCATATTTCTTATAAAAAACCATACGTTTTAAAAATGTTAAACCACAATGTTCTTTTAATATTTTAACAAAAATAATTCGATTTCCTTGATTTATATTTGCAAACACATAGCGCCATATCTATCTTATTTCGTTATAAAAGTTAATGAAACTTAACATGTTGTTGCGAAAATCAAGTCATATAGGTAGCCTATGACACTCGCGTTATCAAGACAAATCTAATGACGTATGAATCATCAAAACGCCGCATAGAAAAAATCCTACATACACACATACGCACGCACGTACACACGCACGCATGAATGCACGCACGCACGCACGCACACGCGATCATAGACTGTAGACTGAGAAACACATTACCCCCCCATTGCACCCCCCTTTGCGTCGCGAGTCGGTTAAAAATTCGCTCGCGTCGTTTAATTTTGTACAATAAATTACTCCGCTCTCGTAGGTCGTAGTGTGATTTAAAATGTAGAATTTTTCAAATGGGACCAGATAATCCAGACATTCGCGTTCAAAAAAACGAACTGTTCCGCTTTATATATTATGTATAGATGCTAAATACCTGCGTGATTATAATTATTAATTAATGTTGAGATATTTTTATCGATAGACATATAATAATGCAAAGTCATTTCGCATTTGGAGTTAATCTTAATTTAAAAATATATAATTAAAAATCGGAAGTTAGGTCCATAGATAGTTTAATGAACAATTCATAAAAAATGTGGTTGAATGGTCAAGTGCTGATCGAGTTCGTGCGGTTAGTGTTCTAGTCTTTTACCCCAAGGTTGCCTGGAAGATATCGCTCAGTTAACGATAAGACCGCCAAACAGTCCCATCATTTAGATTAGTTTGTACTTCATCTTTATGGAAATGGCTTTATGGAGTATTTTACTTTTATATTTGTACTAGTGACTCACCCTAGCTTCACTCGGTTTCGTTCCTAGGTACGTTTTAACAATTAGTATGGATATCCCACGGGAATGTTTCCGGGATAAAAAGTAACCTATGTGCTATTCCAGTATATTTATGGGATTATGGGATTACATATTAAATAGGAGTTGCAACAACTAACGCGTACTTACACTGGACGAGCTTTTGTTATAGTGCTTTAGAGTGTTTATTATAAGCACATGAAGATTGAGGCCTGCACGTATAATATTTTTTACGATAGAACCATAATAAAAAGAATCTAAAATACTTTTCTTTAATAACAATTGAAATTTAAAAAATCTACCGGCCTCCTATTATGGTTCAAAAAGGACATAAAGACGAACCTACGACATTATCTTAATAAAAGTGTCCCGACTTGTCTCTTACGGTATTTAATCAAAAATCTAATTTATAAATATCTCGTGTCACGGTGTTTGTGGTCGCACTCCTCCGAAACGGGTGGAACCGATTTTAATGTTTTTTTTTTAATATTTGCTAGGTATGAGAATGGGTCGTAAAGTATTTTTACCCTCCTACCCCCACCCTCCACTTTATTAAAAAGTATTTTAATATTTTTGTATGAACAATATTCAAATAATTTAATATTATATAAATACATAGAGACGAACCCGAGCGAAACGAGAGTGAGTCGCTATAGGTATAACATAAAGTAAAAGGGTTTTTTTTGTACTTAGTTTGAACGCGTCAGCCGCGAGTCAGCGGCGGGTTCTGCTTGTAAAATATATATAATATTTTATTGATTAATAACTTTTATCAAAAAAGAATAAAGATATATTAGTCCTGTTAAAATTTATAAATAAAGTTAGGGATGCCTTTATAATGAAATAGTGAAAAGTCCCACGGATCTCATGTGAAATTTCGAGTTCATGTAAATTTTCAGTTTCTTGGGAATTTATGCAAGGGCTCCCCTATTTTTAGGGTTAACTTGACCAGACTATATAGAATTCAAATAACAATAATCATGTTACATATATATTATATCATCAACACTTAAATAAAATGCCAAAATAAAACAGCTTCGAAGCTATAAAGTACGAATATAAACGGAACGGTGTTTTTCATTTCTGACGTCTATTTCTTTTTTTTAAATTATTTTGTTTTTGATGTAGTTGAATGTGAAAGAAAAAAAACTAAATTATTATACATTTTTCGTAATAATATAATAATATAATTAAATCACTATCCATACTAACTCATCCTACACATTCGTGCTGTTTGTCGTTAAAGAGCTGTTGCGTGCCTTCGTAGTCTAAATCCTGTCTAAAAGAAGATGACCTTGCGCATAGCTAGGAAGGTAATATATTTTGGCAATATCATATTATACCTAACCAATAAAACGTCTCCATTATTATACATACATATTCTATTAGATCTTGTGGCATTCACTGTTACATTTTCAAGTCCAAGGTCCGTTCATTGTTCATGAAATTATATTGATTTGTAGCTTTTTCATAAACTTACCATTTTTTATTACAATAATTTAAAAATTGCAGCAAGATGAACAAGTTAGTGTAAGAGTATATCGTTATCGAATAAATATAATAATCACATTTAAATTCTTACTTCTGTAGCGAAAGCGAGTCGTTTTCTTTCTCCTCCCGATAATGTTTTTAAGCCATCCAGTCCACCGATACGCGTGTGTCTTGCTCCGTACAAAGATAATTGACGCATCAGCTGATTGACCCTCCTTCTTCGGGCCAAGGGTGTAGTGCGGCGGTCCATGCGTAGACGAGCCTGAGAATAATACCATATTAAATAACATGAACAAAAAATTTGCTACCGATACATACATGATTATTACTAAAATTCTTTAATTTTTTTATTATTTGGGCAATGACAAAGATCCTGAAAAATGGTAAAAAAGTAATAATCACAATAAGATAATAATAAGAAATGTCTATTGGGGACCCTATTTATTATTTAAAGAAACATGTCAAAAAGGTTCTTGCTTACGAAAAATTAGAAATGCGGACAAAAACAATCCACAAACACTTTAGTCCACTAATATATGGCGTAAGTGATAAGGATGTAAAACCCTCATTTTACATGATTAAAATGTAAAATTAGTATATTTTATTACATGTTTAATAAGGGCTTCAATAATTAAGAATAATCCGGGCTTTGAATCCAGGTCGCTGGCTTTGAGAGCCGTAACCTAATACCGGCGTGAAACCACAAATTGAATGATTCATACGATAGTAATATAATACTGACTTTGAAAACTTCTAAATTTTCTGATTGATTGATTAATTATTTTTTTGACAATTTTATTATAAGACTAGCGACTCACCCTAGCTCCGCTTGAGCTCTAATTCCGTTTTAATGTGATTTCTCAGAGATGAGATATTTTTCCGCAGCAAAATATATTCTATATGTTGACCCGGATTACCAGTAATCATCATACCAAATTTTATCAAAATCTGTCCAGTTGTTTTCTCGTGATGCGTTCCCAGGTAGACAGACAGACAAAAACTCTAAAAACTATATGTTTCAGCCTCTGTATCGACAATAATTACTATTTCGATAAGATTTTCTAAGAAATATTTAATTTACAGATTCGACTCAGAATTTTATTATATGTATAGATAGATTAGTTTAAATACTGTAGGATGTCATGACATTGAAATACGCTAACATTCCACGTGGCTGATTCGTTGAACTGGTAAAAATATATCAGAGTTTTTCATATCAGAAGGTAAGTGTAGGTACTTAAAATAACATTAGGATCGGTAAGGGTGCGATCAGGAGGTAACAGAGAAATAAATTAAATTTTACATATTTTATTATATAAGAATTAAAAATATAGATTATTAAAATTTTATATTGTGTTATATGTGGCTTAATACACTTATAAATATAAAAATGTAATATAATAAATTAAGTTTTGATTTTCGGTTCCTGAAGTTTCGGATGCTTTACAACAATCATGGTCACGGGAGAGACTAAAGTTTTAGATTTGTTTCAGACAGTGCCTACCCACAATATTACAAAATAAGTTAAAAATACACAAATGGCACCAAAGTACCTTACAATATTTGTTATTTTTTTTTAAATTAATATATTAAGTTTTATAATTGTTAAAAATTATTTATTAAATTTTAGCTATTATTATTATAATATAAATAAATAATATGTTGGGACATTAACACACGACACCATCTATGTAGTTCCATGGTAAGCTACGAGGCGTGTGTTATGGATACCAGATAGTTGATACATTACACATATATGACTTTAAATACATACACATAAATATAAACACCCGTAACTGGAGTACAAACAATCGTGTTCATCACACAAATGAATGCCCCCAGCGGGACTTGAACCCGCGACCACTGGCACAGCAAGTAGGGTCACTACAAACTGAGCCAAACTAATGAATAGTTTTTTTTTTAGAAACTTATTAATTAGCAGTTAATCTTATTTAGTGTTGTTATATTATATTAATATATAAATATAAAGAAAATTAAATATATCTATTGGTTTTATTATCTAAGCAATATTATTGTTATTTGTTATTAAGCAACACAACACAGTATACATTTATTTTAATTATTGTTAATTTTTTATCTTTTAAATTTCTTTTTAAAAAAACCTTGGAGATGTCTAAAATCTTAGTCTGTCCCATGACCATAATTCAATCAAAAATTAAAATAAATCCGCGAAAAAATCCAAAAAGATAGTTTTATTCTAAAAAAATAAGTTTACATATAATATTATCAATAAATCTTGTTCACAACAATAGACCACGGTAGATAAAATAACACATTACAGATATAGATGTAATAGATCAGTAACAATCCGAATCAGTCCTTATATAGAACAAATATAATATCCATACATATAATAAAATTGTAACTAAGCCGAATCTATACATTAAATATTTTTTAGAAAATCTTATTGAAATAAACATTATTTTCGATACAGAGGCCGAATATATAGTTTTTAGAATTTTTGTCTGTCTGTCTGTCTGTCTGCCTGTCTGTAACCGCATCACAGAAAAACCACTGGAGGGATTTTGATGAAATTTGGTATGATGATAGCTGGTTATCCGGGTCAACATATAGTATACTTTTTACAGCGGGAAAACGTCTCATTTCTGAGAAAAAATAAAAAACTGCAGTGTAAGAGAATACTAATACTATGTAAAACCTAAAAATTTGGTTTTTGGTCATCTGAACGCGGGTGGAGTCGCGGGCAATGCTAGTAAGTAATATAGATATCAAGACCCCATCATACTATATTTTTCAGAATAAATTTTTAGGAAAGTTTATTGTATATCTTCAATACAGCACATTTTTTGTACTTCAGTTATTTGAGTAAAAAATAATGTCCATTTTATTTAAATCTGGTTAAAATATAAATGAGCCCTATTACCTAGGTATGTATAGGTCTTTAAGCCTATTAATTATAATTACAAATAGATACCATAAACTTTAATTAGCAATTTTTTATTCAATAAAAGCGGGTCGTCTTAAATTATATTATCTTTATGTTAACTAAAACTAATCAATATTTTGTTGAAGATGATTTGAAGTCCTAAGAACACGTTCGCGGATGTATGTATTATTCAAAAATTTACAAAAGTAATACGGTACACCATAAGTTAATCATTATATTCTTTTTAATTTACCTTATTTTAAATTCAAATTCAAAATACATATTTTATTCAGCATTAAATTATTACCATTTTTTACTGAACGTCATGAGTCTACTAGACTACTACTACGATATCTTATATATATTAATAGAGCATAAAATCACACATTTTTAAGTAATTAGCAAGTTTTCAGTCATTATTATCAACCAATATCCAAGGCGTAAAGTAAATATTTTAATCAAACATTTATTGAGTTGTACATAAATTGATGATACGTTTTTTAAACATCTATTAACTTTGCTCAAATAATAATTCAAAAAGAGATAACCTTAACAACATTATTTTACTTACAAAAGTCAGGCCTTGAAATATAAAACAGGAAATAAAAAATCAAAAACAAATAAAATTTTATAGATGATGATAAAATTATTCACATATACATACTCGTATATTTATTCAAATTAAACCATTTAAGATTTACATAGAAGTGGCACGAGCCAATACTACTGGAAATCAATACTGCCTTAATAATAATTATTGTATAAGAAAACTTGTTTCATCTTCATTTAACTTAGATAGCTAATTGTTAATAGCACGAGCCACTATCATAAATATTCATTCGAACGTAAAATCCCTACAAACATAATTTCGTGACCTCAACCCCACATAGCAAAATGTGAATAACAGAATTCTATAATGTAAAGCAGGTTGTTGATTATATATTTCACAAAAAGGTCGCTATATCAAAGTAATCTTTGGACATATTATTTACTAGCACTGCCCGCGGCTCCGCCCGCGTTCAGATGAGCAAAAACTAAATTTTTAGGTTTTACATATTAGTAAACTCTTACATTGCAGTTTTTGTATTTTTTCTCAGAAATGAGATACTTTCCCGCGGTAAAAACTATCCTATATGTTGACCCGGATAACCAGCTATCACCATACCAAATTTCATCAAAATCTCTATAGTGGTTTTTCTGTGATGCGGTAACAGACAGACAGACAGACAAAAATTCTAAAAACTATAGATTCGGCCTCTGTATCGATAATAATGTCTATTTCAATGAGATTTTCCAAAAAATATTTAATGTCCAGATTCGGCTTAGTTACAATTTTATTATATGTATAGATTAAAAAAAATAATTAAATACACTAACGTTGTATTTACATATTGAAGTATTTTTTACGCGACTGCAGCGAAGCCCAAAGGAGGGTTATGTGTTTGACCTGTATGTATGTATACAGTATGTACAACAGTACATATGTATGTCTGTCTCTATGTTACTAAATGGCTTAACTGATTTTGTTGATTTATAAGTCATTCGATTCTTCTTGTTAAAGCGAGTGTAATAGGGTATATAGATATAATTATAAATCAAAATTACGGATCCCAGGCGCAAATTTGTATTTATGAAAAAAAAATCGTCCGAATCAATCGAATCAAACTACAGGTTTTTAAGAGGCGATTACAAAAATATAAACAACTTTTATGTTTAAAAGTATTTTAGGATAATAAATTGTTAAATAAAACTAAAAATGTCTACATACATATGTACATGTTATACAGGTTGATTTTTGAGATGGGACAGTAAGGGCAAGCACCAAAACTTCAATTCTTACAGGAAAACGTTCCTAAGAGACCATCCATAACTTTTTGAAATATTCTGAACCGCATGCATAGACTTTGGAAAAAATGTACGGTTAGCAAAAAAAATGCTAAACCACAAAAAAAAATTGTCAATCGATCCTATTTCATGTAGGGATCAAAAGACTCCATGGGACCATTTAAAGTATGAGTACTTGAAATGACAGAAATCGCCAAAAACTTTTCCCATACATTTTGTAAAACTATTAATCAACTCGAAACATTCCTTGTTGCCAAACGGTCCTTTTTCTTAATGTGAGGCCAAATGGAGTTTGAGTACAAGAACTACGGGAAGTCACAAAACCGGGTTTACACGCATAATAAATAATATTATATTCCTGGTTAATATGATATCATGCATTCGGAGTGTAAACCGGGTTTACACTCCGAATGCATGATATTATATTCCTTCGTCAACTTGTTCTCTTCTTTTTATTTTGCTTTTTACGCAGTCAGTTTATTTTTTATTTTTGTAAATAATAAATAATTTTCTATATTTAAGTACGACTATATAATTGATAATATTATGTTATATTACTAGCATTAGGTATACAAGTAAATAGACATTGTAAGTCCAAAGAAATAGTCGTATATATTTACATGTAATGTGTGGTGGAAATATAGAGTTGGCTACAAAGCCAGATACAAGCATATATATATATACACTTACCATAATTGTGAGATGTTCCATAACAGTAAGATTTTCTACGAAGAGCTCGTCCTGGTGCATGTAGCCGCTCTCCCGATGCATAAAGTCACCAATAGGCAGCCCGTTCATTGCAATCTCCCCGTCCACTATCGTTCCCTCTTGCAAAGGAAAATCATTAAATCATTAAAATTATCATGATAATAATATATTTTTTAAATATTACGTTTTCAATGGTGTTTAACCCGAGGCCGGGTATAGTATTAAGTAACTTAATTAACCCTCGATAGATTTAAGTGTTAAACAATATGAATATATATTGTTTTTGCTTTATAGGAGATATATTTTTTTTCATAAGTAGTGTAAGCTGCTATAAATCTTATGTAATTCACTTTTAAACTATAAAATTTGAATTACTGCCGTTATTTGTAGTAAATATATTATTAACACGTATTAACTTTAACATTGTCCCTAGCTCTCTCATATTCAAGGCCGATGGAATGAGACTAAACCCGATATGTCTAACCGACTTATTCAAGGAATTAGGTAATTTGTAAGATTTAGGTAATTTGTATTTTAGTTTGGTGTTTGTGTATTCTCTATCAAGTTAAGACTATCATATTATTTATCTTTATATCATTTATCGTTTATTGCAGGACGATTTAACAATAATAATTTATTGAATTATTTCAATTCAGGCAGTGGTAACCCAGTGGTAACGCGCTCGCTTGGGAAACCGAGTGAAGCGAATTCAAATCCCGGGTCTCGCATCTCTGATATTTTCATGTGAAGTTACGGTAAAGGAAAACATCGTGAGGAAACCTGCATGTGTGAGAGAATCTAGCAAGTTTTCAAAAGGCATGTGAAGTCCGCCAACCCGCACTTGACCAGCTGGTGGACTATGGCCTGATCCCCCTCGTATTGAAGGGAGGCCCGTGCCCAGCAGTGAGACGTTAAAAATGGCTGAATACGAATACAATTTCAATTCATTTCGAAAGTGATAATTTTGAACAGCTGTTCAAATATCTTACCATCTAATATACCTATCTATTTTTACTCGTTTACACTAACTTTTAAAATAAAAGAAGGTCTCTCTCTAGACATCCAATCTGTATGAATTACGATATGCACAATAATAATAACCATAGATAGGTGTATATTTTTTTGTTACAATTTAAAAAGAGAACACTCCTATCCCACATCCTACCACAACACCCTAACACCTTCGAATTTATTAGAAGAAATGTATTTATGAAGTCTGAAATACAATAGAGTATGGAACTTATCAAAAATAACGCTAGTCTGACTTGCATTTACATGTATTTATTATCTGTTCCCGAGATTCGTACATTTAGTATATTTTTTAAGATATTCTGAAACAATAACGAGCATAAATATGTTGAATGATAAAAGACTCGTGTTTAACATGATCGTGCTCCTTTTATTTCAACATGGTTTTTACATGCCAAATTAAATAAATGGCAGTAAAACTATTAAAACATGTTTTATATGGAAATCTGCCCGATTTGTTGACATTTTATTTTTTATATAATATGATTATTAGTATACATGAGAACCCATTTTTTTAAGATTCTTTATAAGATGTTTGACACTCAGATTAAATTATTTTAAATTCTTAGTAATATTTATGATATAAAAGTGTCAGACGTATGCCAAACATGAATTATTTTAATAATTCTCACATGCTTACTTTAATACGTTGTATAATTTACCAAACTGTTTTATTAGCCATAAGCAATTAGTATACCTATTTACCTATTATATTTATATATATATATATATATATATATATATATATATATATATATATATATAAAGGAAAACATCGTGAGGAAACCTGCATGTGTGAGAGAACCTAGCAAGTTTTCAAAAGGCATGTGAAGTCCGCCAACCCGCACTTGACCAGCTGGTGGACTATGGCCTGATCCCCCTCGTATTGAAGGGAGGCCCGTGCCCAGCAGTGAGACGTTAAAAATGGCTGAATACGAATACAATTTCAATTCATTTCGAAAGTGATAATTTTGAACAGCTGTTCAAATATCTTACCATCTAATATACCTATCTATTTATATATATATATATATATATAAATATATAAATATATATATATATATATATACACACACACATATGGGGAAAAGATTACACTTGTCTAAAAGTACACTTCAGATATTATATAAATATTTTTCCTACATTTTTTATACGAGCGTCGATTTAAAAAGTAAAAGAGTCTTATTTTTTGGAAAATATACAAAAAACTCGTTTTTAAAACGGGAAATATCAGCACGAGTCAAATGCCATCTAATGGAAATGAGGTATTAGCATTTTCGAAAATATTTTGAAAATTATAATTTCATAACACTTAATATGTAATTTAAGATAATTTAATCAATCGTATTATTAATAAGCGATAATATTTTTTTATAACGTCCGAATTTTATAATAATATAGTACGTATACATTAGTATATTAAAACGTACAAAGTAAATAGTTATAATATTTACTAAAAAGCTTTGCATAACTTATATTATATAGTATAATAGGTAGGTATAGGTAAGGACTACGATCACTGTGCTGGTTGGTCTCTACCACCAAAGCGCCTTATGACGATGAAAAATGTGCCATAAGATGATTTTTCCGCCCACGACGACGAAATATGAGTAGACGAAATAAGAGTTAAACAATATATGATAATAATATGTAGCAAAGATGTAAGTATACAAAGATACCTGGATTCCGATGTGCCAATGCAGTCATCAATGTCGTTTTACCAGCGCCGCTGAAAAATAAATTAATACGAAAAATTAATAAATTCTACAAACATTTACATATTATACGTATAGACATAATAAAATTGTAACTAAACCGAATCTGTACATTATATATTTTTTGGAAAATCTTATTGAAATAGACATTATTATTAATTTAAAGGCCGAATCTATAGTTTTTAAAATTTTTGTCTATCTATCTGTCTGTTTGTCTGTTACCGCATCACAAGAAAACCACTGGACAGATTTTGATGAAATTTGGTATAATGATAGCTGGTTATCCGGGTCAACATATACGATACTTTTTAGAGCGGGAAAATATCTCATCTTTGAGAAATCGATACTAAACGTTAAAACCTAAGTAGGGACGAATCCGAGCGAAGCGAGGGTGAGTTGCTAGTGAAATATAATATTATAACGAGGTAAACTTTGTGAGTTTGGATGTAGTAGGTAATCGAACCTACTGATCCAATTGTAAAAATTCTTTCACTAATAGGAACCTACGTTACCGTCGAGTGCTATAATTGGTTATCAATTTTTATTGCGATAAAAGCGTGCTAACCGTTAGAAATCATAATAACTTTAATTGAAGTCAAAAAAAATTGGCTGTTTAGTATTTTGGTGCTTTATCGTTCGTAGTACTCTGCCTCCAAACTTTGTAAATAAATCTTGTAATGAAGCATTAAAATGTAGGACAAAGATAACTTGGGTAGATACTGTCTGTAACAACTATATAATAACTATTGCACCTGTGTTATGTGACCATGTTTGCTGTAAAACATTTGAAACGTCGGGAACCAAAATACATAGAGGTATCTATAATAAGACCGCGACTTAGAAAAGATACTTTCATTTAAAAAGTCACATATTCGAGTAAATCTAAGAAAGTATTTTTAGTACTTTCGTAAGGTCTATTTTTTATTTTTAGCAGAATTTTCCTGTAAGAAAATAATAATTTGCCGCATCCGCGCATAACAACGCACTCTTATACGTTTTTAACTTTTTGTATCTTTCACAACAACAAAAAGTCGTCGCGACAAAAAGTTGTAGTGAGCGCTAAATCTAATTAGTAATTTAAAATATTAGCACTAGCAAAAATATGTAGACACAAATTCAAGAGTTTCAAGAACATATTTTTATTTAAAACCAGCTTTAATGCCTCCACAGGAGTACTCACAAATATTTAAAGGGTATTTTTTACATTTATAATATTAGTTATATTATAATGAACTCACCTGGGGCCCATGAGAGCCACCAACGACCCCGGTTTGGCAATTCCGCTCACTGCGAATAAAAAAAAATAATTTAATCAAAGGAGAAAGTGGGTACTGTACACTTTATTTATATATAAAGTTTTACATCCTGCAATTCGATTAACAATAAAGAATAATGATCCTATTATTTATTATCTCACCGATCCGTAAATTATCTCCATACAAAAATATTGCGTGAAAGAAGGACAGAAAGTACTAAATACACATTCGCATTTGTGATACTAATGCCCGATTTTACCAACAACCCATAAGCTACCACCTACATATGGGATCCCTAGCTTAAAAGTCCCCTAAACTAGCCCCTAAATTAAATTTTGTTTTACGATCGTCTTTAAGCCCATATGTCGAGCACCTAAATTTAGGGAGCCTTTTAATATTTAGGTGACCCCTAACTGTCGGTGAAACAAAAACTGTCCCCTAACAGCCCTCTAACCATGCTTAGGGGATCCCTTAAACTTAGATGACGTTGGTGAAATCGGGCATAAGAAGGTTATATTTCAAAGCATATGTACTAGAACCTACATAGCGAAATTACGATATATCTATACATATAATAAAATTGTAACTAAGCCGAATCTGTAGATTAAATATTTTTTTGAAAATCTTATTGAAATAGACATTATTATTGATACAGATGCCGAATCTATAGTTTTTAGAATTTTTGTCTGCCTGTCTGTGACTGCATAATGGAAAAACTACAAAGAAGAAATTTTGATGAAATTTGGTATGATGATAGCTGGTTATCTGGGTTAACATATAGGATACCTTTTACTGCAGGAAAATATGTCATCTTGGAGAAATCTATACTAAACAATAAAACGTAAGTATGGACGAACCCGAGCGGCACTCCGGCTCGGATTCGTCCGCTAGGGTGAGCCGCTAGTTTAACATACATTTTTAAAAATATATTGTGTTGAATACTCTGCAGAATATCTTGATAGCAGCATCAGGTTCTCGTTATCATACTGTTAAAGGACTATGAGTTTTATAAAGAAATATGTTCCATTGCATGTTTAAGAAACACATTTTTAGAGAGCTTATAATGTGGACTGATTTTCATCATTCATATCTATACTTATTATAAAAATAAGTCCCCCGGCCGCGTCTTTCTGTCCTCCTGTCTGTCCTCCTGTCTGTCTGTACGCGATAAACTCGAAAACTACTGAACGGATTTTTATACGGTTTTCAACAATAGAAAGAGTAATTCTTGAGGAAGGTTTAGGTATATAATTTATTATGCTTTTATGTAAATTAGCTGAAATACGGCGACAAATGTTGAAGAGGTCGCAAAAAATCTCGCCAAATGGGAACTTTCCACGCGAACGCCGCGTAAACTAGCAAAGATACAGTTAAGTAATGTACTAGAGAATTCAAAATCTATAAAAATGCTACAAAAAAGTCCGCGATAGCATATCTCTATCTCTTACGGTTGACTTACAATAACCACTTTTATGTTAACATTTTTAATTAAAAACATTACGTTATTTTCAAAGTTATTTTCTTTAGTTCGGTATTAATCCTTATCCAAATGAATATTTTAGTTAGCTTAGTCATTTAATGCAGATTAAAATTGCTCTTTACACTAAATCAATCAGATGAATAGTTTTTGAGATATCGTTGTTAGAAGTAATTAGTAGCGAAACATTTTTAATGCTTGGCGAGCATTGAGATGCCTACGGCGAGTCCATCCCCTCTGCCCCGCATCGCTCGACCGCCTGCTCAAGCTATATAAACCGGGCGATGTAGCGCGCGATCCTAGGATACTTTTTACCGCGGGAAAATATCTTATTTCTGAGGAAAAATACAAAAACTGCAATGTAAGAGTATACTAATATGTAACACCTAAGAATTTAGTTTTTGGTCATCTGAACGCGGGCGGAGCCGCGGGCAATGCTAGTTATAAATAAATATGGCAATAACCTATACTTTCGGTACACTCAGGTATAAGTAAGAAACAAACTTATAAATTAATTATTAAATACTAACTAAAATAAAACACTTTTATTTTTTGAAAATTTTAAATAACTCGTTCGACAACAAATTGAATTTATAATAATAAATTAAAAGGTTATTTAAACGGCACGAGTCAAATGCCATGGAATGGAAATAGGTTACCTACTTATGCTGATAAACCAAATTAAAATAATATATGAAAATTTATTTACAAATAAACAAGAAACAGATTGGATATTTTTATTAGAAATAACGATTCAGGGTAACAAAAGTGATGTAAGTCAATGTTAAGATAAATTGATGTGTCTTAACATTAAGAGTCCGTATACGAAATTTTGCCGACTTCGCTGATTTACGCGATTTTATCAATGCTATTTCACAGTTAAAAAACAATTTTTACTATTATATTTTATTTTTAACTATAAGTGTAAATACATAATATGAAAGATCATTTCAATCATGATCCAATCCATGGCCTCCTTTTTTAATTTTAGTATTTAATTTTGAATTATCGACCTTAAACCCGCGACTGAATAGTGAATTTTTGCTGTAAGAGGTTTAGGATCAGCCCATTTACGGCTTATGTTGACTTCTAAATAATATGAAAAAATAGAATATTGACGTTTTAAGTAAAAAGGCTGATTTCAAAACCACTTAAATGTTTGAAATTATTCCAACCTTTATATTGCACCACATAGGTAAACACACACAATAAGATCTACGAGTATATTGTACCACCCTTAAAGTGCAATCTATTCAAAAAAATATATGAATATCCATTCACGTTTTTTCAAATATATTTCCTTCTTTTTGCAATTGGTCAAAAATATACATAGATAAGATATTACGCTGAGCTTTTGACAAACGTCAAAGTCAAAGATGTTTTATGTTGGATACGATTCTCTTACAGCATGACCAAAACTTTACTTTGAAAGCAAAATGCCTCTGTAAAATATTATAAGTATCTTCTTATCCCTGCCCATTTCCCAATCACTTGGGGTCGGCGCAGTACATCTTCTGTACTGCTGAAAGGATTTGGCAACAGTCAGTCTTATGATATGTCTCTGATATATATCTCTGATTATGTCTTGTAATATGATGAACTTTCGATATTTTTGCCTTTTAAATCATTTTTTTATACTATTAATTAACGTTTTATGTTATTTTCGGATAAAAAAAAATAAGCCTTATACGAACCTCTAGTGATGGGCTTACCAAAGAATAGCATTATCATTATTATTTTATTAATAAAAAGGTTTATTTACTTATTTTTATTATTTAACTTACCATTATTAACTAATCTCTTCAATTTGCCATCCTTGAGCTTGATGTGGACGGCTACATCACGCCATACCAATGTACACGGTCGGGGCGCGGGCGACGAACCAAGCAACTCCTCCACCTCAGTGAACAGTGGCTCATCATATTTAGAGTAGGTTATTCCACTGTCTACGTAAATTACATCAGCTGGTTGCAATTCCTGAAACAAATTTCTGAATCTAATAAAGTTGTAAGGAAGCAAATAGAATAATCAAATAGAAAAACCAAAAAGCACAGGTACAGTATTTTTGAGAACTCAAAAAGTGTTTATCAAAAATAATTAGAATAATGTCTAGACTAATATTTGTCTGAAACTAGCGGCTCTCCCTCGCTTCGCTCGAGTTCGTCGCTAGGTAGGTTTTAAATATCTGTAGATTAAATATATATATATATTATATATATATATAAATATATATATATATATAAATATAAATAGTTATTAGCCAGTGTTAGCCATTTTTTTTTGTTAATAATATTGACAAATATTGACATTAATATTTATACGATACTAACGTCACTCAATTGTTTTACCTTCCCGGAACCTCTCCACTAACACTTAAACTTTATGTTATGGTATTAAAGTTCAAATTGACTTTTAAGTATTATTACGAATCTTTTGTATGGGAGTATAGAAAAGTGTTGTTTTTAGACTTTTCAGGCAATTTTTTAAATTTTTCTCTCCGTAAGAACCATCCTCGTACTTTAAGGAATATTTAAAAAAAAGTATTAGCGAAATCGGTTCAGCTGCTCTCGAGATTTACGCTTACCAACACATTTTAATATTATAGATATTTGTTTAAATTAATTTAACATTTCAAATCTGTATTTTTTATTTTTATCTCCCTAAAGTGTGAACTACATATGAACATATCACATACACATACATAGGAGTATGACAAGTTATATATCCTGTGGTTGAAATCTCAGTAGTATTCTTTAATACAATGACCTCTACAAGTCCTAATAATACGAATATTGTATTGCAAAAAAGCTTTCCATGACGTCATTGAATGCAAGTTAATTTTTAATAAAATAGTTGTACTGATTTTAATTTTTATGATTTTAAATATATTTCTTAATATAATATTGCTATACATAATTCTTACTCCAAGTCGGAATCATATTGTCTAGTAACTGTAAGAGTTATATATTTTATTAATGTATGTAATTAATAAAAAAAAACATATTTCTCTAATGTACTCAACAAAAAAAATTAATATAATAAAAAACTTAAAAATAAAACGACTTCCAGGTACTAAAAAGTAAAAAATAACTAAGCGGAGGTTTTCATATAGAATAGATACCTAATCAGATATTTTCGAAGTCGGTGCCATGCCATAACCTGTAAATTAAAATACTACTACATAAACTTGTACATATCTTCTTCTTTTTAATGTCGGTCAAAAAAATAAAATGAAACGGAAACTAATCCGGACTAATAAATTGTAATACAATCGATATTAAAAAACATGAACAAAAAATTGTGTATATACCTACTTATATACGCACGTAATAAGATATACTTCTTTGTTTTTTTAGAGCAATTAGATAAAGGCTTGTTTAAAATGTTTTCATTTTTGCTTATTGTGTTTCGCTCATCAAGCCCTTTCATTTGATGCTCAAATCATAAGAGTCCCTATGAAAATGATAAATTGCTATTTTGCAACGTGCAAAAAAAATACATATTTTTGTTATAGGATTAAAAATGGTGGCATTTAGGTAATTATGCAGTCACGAGAACTAAAAAACTTCAGCTCAATCTCTCTCTCTCTGGGAAGTGGGTCAAATTTTACTTGCAAGATTTGATTACAGACAGATAACGGAACTAACTTCATACTGTAGCTAATAACAACTTCATACTGTAGTCTAAATCTGTCTCGTCGTAAAAAAATCATTCTCATGATTCATATTTCATTTTTAATAACGCGCCAAAAGAACTATAGCTTCTATAAAAAGCACGACAAAAATTATTCAGTACCTATTATTAATACAATTAGTGAATGGACAGTCAACGTCAATTAAATCCATTAATTAATATGAATTTATGATTAATTATTTTTTGTATACTGCTCCTTCCGTTTGGTATACGTCGCGTCGATAAAAAATCTATACATATGAAATGCTTTATCCTGAATGACTGACTAACGGATCAATGCACAGCCTAAACCGCTGATCGTAGAGACCTGACAATTGGAGGGTGTGTTCTTTGTATGGTCTAGGCATCCGATAAGAAAGGATTTTCCGAAATTCTACCCCTTAGGGGGTGAATAGGGGGCCAAAGTTTGTATGGCACAACGTGATTTCTTGGTCCAATCTACTTCATGCATAAACATTCTTTAACAGAATTGATTGAAGATGTGCTTCGTATTTTATTGAAATTTATCCCCTAACTGGGTTAAAAAGGGGTAGAAAGTTATTTTGGTGCCGATTTACTCCGAAGTTGATATCAATACTCCTTAGTGCTTTTAATTTAAATTACATTTTATTTTGACACATGTTTGAAAACTGAAAGCATCTTGAGATCATTTTTAAAATAACGAATTATCGAAGACTAGCGGAAGAGTTAGCGGGAACCGTTCATTTTTCCGGGATAAAAAGTAACCTGTTGTTTGACTGGTAATATAAGGTATCAGTATGCCAAATTTTGCTAAATTAAGCGCATAAGTTGTTGTGTACTAAGCTGTATAAGTTACTATAGTTTTTTAACTATCCCACGGGAACTCTTTAATTTTCCGGGATGAAAAGTATCTAAGATGTTGCCCGGGGATATAAGGTACCGCCATGCAATTTCATTTAAATCGGTCCAATAGATTCGGAGATTAGCCCGTATAAACAGACAAACAGACAGAGAAACTAGAAATTTGAAAAAATCTGGATTGTTCTATTTCTCTTCTTACACCCCCCTGACTCGGTTTTTGGCATTTTTTTTCTATGTACAGACATTCGACCTCTATAATTTTATTATATACATAATTTAGTAATTTATACCGAATTCCATATGGAGATGATGTTTTGTATGTAAAGGTTAGATATCAAATGTAGACAAAAGGAAATCTTTTTAATATAATATAGTGTAATGAATGTTGGCAAAGCCAATCTTTTTCTTATAAGAAATTCAACGATAATATCATACTACAATTATATCTAAGTAAAAGTACCAAGTTAATGAAACTTTGATACTATTTTTAAAAAAGTGAAGTGAATCATTCTTCCATGAAATCATAAAAGAATCCATACTTCCATACTAATATTTATATTATAAATGTGAAAGCGTGTTTGTTCGTTTGCTTGTCTTTCCTCACGTCGAAACGGAGTGACGGATTGGCGTGATTTTTGGTGCAAAGATAGTTGGAGAGCAGGAGAGTGACATAGGCTACTTTTTATCGCGGGAGATCATATCATGCCCACGTTATAATACAATCCAAAAATTTATTTCTGATCAGAATCACTTAAAACTTAATAACGCTCTTCAATACAATTAAAAAATTATTGGCTAAACAGCATTATGATTTCTTTTCCCCAAATTTATATGACAAAATAAACAAAATTCTTAATATATATCCCCGAATCATACATATATGCAAAAATATAATTACAGCTTGGTTGTTAGACTTGACATATGAGGAAACCGAGAACTTACTAAATAGGTATATTTTATATGGCTGACACACATACGCACACGCACACACACACGCACACACGGTTAATCTACTTTATACACCGTGTCATAATAACTAATATCTTAAATTAATTAAACTTTTAAATCTGATATTGGAACATAATGTATATTTATATAATCTGGAGGTGGGTGTTAATGACTACGACACAGTTTTAACTAATTTAGTCATTATCGAACATAATTTTATAAATTGTAATCTTTAAACGTTCCCCAATAAAAAAAATTATTATTATTTATTATTACCATTTTTCGAAATAAACATTCAAAAAAAAACGTGTTTTACCATTTTTCGAAATTCATCCTATAAGTGAGTATAATAGGGGATGAAATTTTGTATGAAACCTTTTTAGCGATTTTTTTGTAGTTTTAGCGCGAGCGAAACCGCGGGTTCTGCTAGTACTCTATATAATACTCTTAGATTTACGAGAATATTTGACATTTTAAGTAAGTTATATTCGATCGATTGATCACGGGTCATGGTCATGGTTACTGTAAAGCAATTAAAACGTCTAGAACCAAAAATCAAAATCAATCCTCGAAAAAATCCGAAAAGATTGTTTTATTTAAAAGCTACATCCAATCGAAAAAGTAACAACCGCACACACAACAAGCTCATAAACATTCGTATTTTTGTATATTACTAACAATTCACCCTTGCTCCGCTCGGGTTCGTCCCTACGAACGTTTAAACGGTTAACAGGTATATGTAGATGTCATAGAGATGAGATATTTTCCGGCAATAATAAGTATCCTATTTTTTGGTTTTTTTTTTTTTTTAACGTTGGGAAATGCATTTACGCACGACGTGTGGGACTCACCGGCGTAATACAGCCAGTACTACCCACTAAAACCCAACAAAACCTTCCCCCGTCTTAATGGGGCGTCGCAGGATCGCTTACGCATTCAACTACGACGGCAGGTCTGCCAAAGCAGACCACCACAACCATGGGGTTGCTCCAAGGTCCACTCTGCTATCAGAGAAGTACCAGGAGCAACCCGCAAGGTACACCGCCCCCCGAAGAGGGCCACCTCCCACCGCCCACCGAAGTGGGCAACCTCCCTGTGCGTTTCTTAGCTTCGCTACTACTACTGAGCCCCCCCCCCACCACGACAAGGTGAGCGCACGTTGGGGGGGAATAATAAGTATCCTATATGTTGACCCAGACAACCTGCTATCATCACACCAAATTTCGTCAAAATCTGTCCATGCGGTCACAGATAGACAGACAAAAATTCTAAAACTATAGATTCTGCCTCTGTATCGATAATAATGAATATTTGAATAAGAATGTCCAATAAAATATTTTATGTACAGGTTAAATTCAGTTAGAATTTTATTATAAGTATAGAAATAGTGAATTATCTCTACACTACGACCACCTGAGCGTTCCTAATTGCCTAATACCACATGCCTCACTTATATGTTAATTAGGTCATACCTATCTGTGCACTAAATTTTACGCAAATCCGTCTATCTATGG